CAGGAAAGTCTGAGGCCGACTGATGGCCATTTTATAATTGCACCAACAGCTGTCACCGTCTCGCCAAGCTTCTGGCTGACTGATGGTCTTGCAGCCCAGTCTAGCCTTGCGCAGGTCCACAGTCTGGTCCCTGACGTCCTTTGACAGCTCTGTGCTCTTGCTCATGATGGTGGCAGGTTGGAAATGAAGAATGTGTGCTTTATATACATAATGAGTTGAGATCAGGAGTATTTGTAATCGCTTGTGTGCCACATAAGCCCGCAGCCAGTCTGTGAAAGCCAGTATTCTGGCTGGGTTATAGGGGATAACATTTCAGTTGATGAGAGTACCGTAAAAATGAAAGACTGTTCATTTCTTTGAATGGAAAAAATTCAGCAGGGATTCAAATAATTATTTCCCCGAGTGTGAAAACACAGATATCTGAAAATCAGTTTTGATTAGTCCAGATGAAATTTCTACAAATAGATCAAAACACGATATCTTTAATGAATGTTTCCACACAGCAAATTGTCACTTCCACTAGCTGCTGCTCGCTCCACTGATTAAATGTTAAAGTGTTCAGCACACTTAAGAAGACTTTGGTGTTCTTTGAGGATATTAACAGCTGTTAGTGTTTCATGGCATTCAAACCTTCAAACTATGAAATCATGCATCCTGCTCACATGAAAAGACTGAAACAGGAGTTTCAAACGCACTATTGTGTACACACAGTGCACAAACCTCTGCTGAGAGGAAGGGTCTGTGTTGGCTCTGCAGTCAGGTGTCTGCCGCTAACCACAGAGGGTCAGGCGCAGAGTCAAGATGAGAGTCTCAGGGCTCCAACCACTGCAGTGGGATGCCAGGCTGAGTAAATGAAAGGAGTAAATAAGACATTTGTGCCACGCAGAGGCCAAGCTGAACTGGATGACCTGTGACTTGATTAAAGTTGGGGATGGGCCATAAGTAAGACCACCAGAGGAGATAAATCTTTGAGTGCATTTTCTCTCATTCAAAAGTCCCTTGGCTGTAAGCGGTGTCCGTATATCATCATAAGGGTGGAGTGAGAAGAGCCTTTTTCAGCCTCGGATGGCGCTGCACAAAATCTGCTAAATGTCCTTAAGCAACACTGGCTGTATCCCAATTCAGGGTCTGCAGCCTTAAAGTACGCAGCCTCAACGATCCTTAAGGACCGCTAAGGCTGGACGTGCGAGGCTTGTGAAATGGGACGGTCTAGCCTCCGTTGCGCTGCCCAGGTTGCCTAGCAACCATGATACTAAC